ATTTTGGGATACATTTAGTATGTGGTTATGAAGGTTTTTCCTACGTATTTTTTCCTACGTATTGTGCTCATTGCAAATCTTTGGGGCATTCGAAAATGGATTGTCATATTTTACAACCCAAGCTTAATAAAGATCGCTTAGTTAACCTTTTTTTTATTAATGAGGGTGATAAGCCTACTAATGATGTGCTCTGCAATATTTCTCATCCCTTGATTCCTGTTGGTTATGCAAGGCAGTCTATTGAGCTCGTTACTTTGGTAACGGAGGGACCTAGCGCTCCTACTGGTATGCATTTTGTTGTTTATGTTTCGGAGAATAATAATGGTATAAAAAATGCTTTGGTTGCTAAAAATGTTCATGTTCCTGTTACTAACCCTTATGGTAATCAATGTGCCTCTCATTTTATGAATCAAGCTTATTCCAACCATGAAGAGTGTCAAGGTATGAATAATGAGGTAACTAATCATTTATCTTTAATTTTTTGTTGTGAGTATCAAATTATTATCCCCCCTGCTGTTGTTGAGATGGCTCCTGGAAATAATGGTCATGTTTCTTGTCTTGATATATTATATACGGTTTGTCATGTCAACAAGGTGGATTTGATTGAACCAACTAATAGATTGGTTAATGTTCCGGATGACTCCCCCTTAGCTTCTTTGGAACTGGTTGTGTTGCCTAATATTATGGATGTGAATGAAAAAGAGCCTTTTATTGATATTCTATTTTCTTTTATTTCTAATGATGCTTTGAAAGCTCATTTGGTTTTGAAATCAAAGGAGATTTATGTGGATCAATTTGATTGACTGGAATTCTTCAGCTAGCTAGGGTGGCAGGGAAAGACATGGATGAGCCTCTAGATGATTTTCAAGTGTTGTTTGGCTTAAATGTGGTTTGCACCACTGAAGATTTTAAGGGTGTTGGTAAACGAAGGAGGAGAAAATTAAAAATAAAAAAATAATTTCTTTTGCCTACTTATTTCCTTGTTGTGGTGTTAGTTTCTACTGGTTTGGCTTGGTTCTTTTGGTTGGCATGCTTTCTCGGCTGTGGTGGTTTGGGTCTCCGTGGGGACTTGGCTGTGAAGTTTGGTTTTTAGTGGAGGTGGTTTTATTGGTTAAGCTGTGGTGCTTTTGGTTGGGGTTTGATTGGTTTATTTGTAGGGTTTGATTGGGGGGTTTATGTTGGGGTTTGGGGTGGTGTTTTGACTTGGGGTTTGGATGTGGTGCTTTTGGTTGGGGTTTTGGTGCTCGGTTATAGGGTTTTTTTCAGGTTGGTTGGTTTGGTTGTTGGTCTTTCCTTGCCATTCACCTTTGGGGTTGGTTTTTGTTGTCTTTGTTTCTTTGGTTTAGTTCTTATTCATTTTCATTGAAGGTTATTTTGTCTTGTAGGTGTTCGTGCGGTTTGTTTGTGCATTATCTGTCTCTCATGATGTGTTGCTACTCTCTTCTGAGAATCTCTAATCTATCTACTGGTGTCCTTGATTTGGGTTGGCTTTTGGCTCCTCATTTATTTTCTGCTTTTATTTTTTGTTTGTCGTATTAGTTGGATCATAGGCTTACAGATTTTACTTCCAATACTATATTTTAGAGGGATCATGATCCTTTAAGGACTTGTATTATATTACTTCAATCTAATGATATGTGTCGGCCCCGACGTGAGTTTTATCCCAAAAAAGGAGCCTACTAATGATGTGCTCTGCAATATTTCTCATCCCTTGATTCCTGATGGTTATGCAAGGCAGTCTATTGAGCTCGTTACTTTGGTAACGGAGGGACCTAGCGCTCCTACTGGTATGCATTTTGTTGTTTATGTTTCAGAGAATAATAATGGTATAAACAATGCTTTGGTTGCTAAAAATGTTCATGTTCCTGTTACCAACCCTTATGGTAATCAATGTGCCTCTCATTTTATGAATCAAGCTTATTCCAACCATGAAGAGTGTCAAGGTATGAATAATGAGGTAACTAATCATTTATCTTTAATTTTTTGTTGTGAGTATCAAATTATTATCCCCCCTGCTGTTGTTGAGATGGCTCCTGGAAATAATGGTCATGTTTCTTGTCTTGATATATTATATACGGTTTGTCATGTCAACAAGGTGGATTTGATTGAACCAACTAATAGATTGGTTAATGTTCCGGATGACTCCCCCTTAGCTTCTTTGGAACTGGTTGTGTTGCCTAATATTATGGATGTGAATGAAAAAGAGCCTTTTATTGATATTCTATTTTCTTTTATTTCTAATGATGCTTTGAAAGCTCATTTGGTTTTGAAATCAAAGGAGATTTATGTGGATCAATTTGATTGACTGGAATTCTTCAGCTAGCTAGGGTGGCAGGGAAAGACATGGATGAGCCTCTAGATGATTTTCAAGTGTTGTTTGGCTTAAATGTGGTTTGCACCACTGGAGATTTTAAGGGTGTTGGTAAACGAAGGAGGAGAAAATTAAAAATAAAAAAATAAATTTTTTTGCCTACTTATTTCCTTGGTGTGGTGTTAGTTTCTACTGGTTTGGCTTGGTTCTTTTGGTTGGCATGCTTTCTCGGCTGTGGTGGTTTGGGTCTCCGTGGGGACTTGGCTGTGAAGTTTGGTTTT